AATACAATAGCAACAGAGTATAATGAGAAACAAACTTAGTACTAAACCAAAATAGCTATATAATTAGTTCAGGATATTTAACAAAATTAATTGTAGAATAATTCAACTCAAAATAATACAGACTAAATGAAAAAAATAGCATAACCTGAACAAAGTGAACGTTGAATAAAGCAGAATACAGAAATAAAATGTAGAGATACATATAACGTTACCAAATATTGACTACCAACATTCACTAGCTTTTCTACCCAGAAGATTTCTTAACTTATTTGTTCAAAACAACACACCTACAACCCAGTTTTACAAATAAATTCAGTTTGATTTATGTAGGCAACCCAAACAAATGTTTTATGAAACTAAAAATTAGTGTAGTTAGCACACAATTCATACATAACAAATACCTTATTGAGAAACAATATTAAAGTAAAACATTCAATTATTTCTGCAAAGTTGAAAATTGTTTACTTGTCAACATCAAACACATTTCTAGCTTAAAAGTAGTGGAAAACAATCTTTCATACTGAATAATCAAATAAATATGTTTCACTTCATAAAGGTAACGTCACAAAGTCTATGAATATCCTAGTTGCCCTAACTGCAAAATATTATTTCACCAACACCAATGAAAATAGCGGGCTCAACATGTTTATCACTTCTTTGGAGTAGATTAATTAACAATTTTGTGTCTTTCTTTCAAGTAAAAATCACATACTTAAAATATTTCAGCTTAACCACAACTGAAAACTTTCTTCATCAAATTAAAAAATATATATATTTAATAAATCATGCTTCTCTTTCGATGCACTTCAGGATAATCACTATAGCCTTTAGCTAACACAAACATTTCAGTATATATATATAAGCCAAATTCTTTATTTGCCTATGTTGATTACTTTCATGTAAGTAATTAATTATAAACAAATTGGTCTATATGTTTACTAACATATATACACATGCTTGTAATACGTGACATCACCATTCGCTGATAAACACGATAAGCATAGCACCAAACTAAAATTGTCTTATAAACATTAGAGTAATTACAGATAGTAGTAAGTAAAAAATGTTACTTCCTACCATAATCATCCAATCGTCATCTATAAATTATACGCAAGTACTTATAGCCCAATGTAGCAGGTGCACAAGTGTTGACAGAAAAATATGATTTCACCATTACGACAAGCAAACAGCTTAAATTGCTATACTTTCCCGTTAGTGTTGCTGTCTAGAGATAATGAAAATGAACTACACCAGATG